TTGCGCTGCACAGCTCGAAACTGAGTTAAGTTTAGTCCTTGCACGCTCCCGAATGTTTGCCGGACAACCGTGTTACTGTTAATAAGACTCTTTATGCATTGTGTTACGCACAGATCAGCTATTAGGGTTAACTATTTACCGTTGTTTTAAGTTTTTTCTATATGGGGTGCTCTTGCACCATTTGCTAAGTTACGCGCTCGGACTTTTTCCTAAAGGGTTCGTGTTAATTGAGTATTTTTCAGTTCTAAATAAATATTATAGACACTTTGACTCGTTTTTTAACCATCCCAGCCCTTGACAATTACAGGAAGATCCAGCGATGGTTTTGTGGCGACGTGCCCGAAAAATCGCCTTTGGAAGCATTTTATTGACTGGATTACTCAAAATAAATTGTGCTTGCTTATGGCGTAACCAAATACCTGTACTTGCACCTACAGTGGCGTATCTAAAAGCCCATTCTGCACAGGAAGTGATTCTCGCATGTACTGGATTTGTACATGACGTAAAAGCAGCAGAGGACGAGCGGAAAAAATTAAAATCTATTTTTTACTTGTGCTTATGTACATTCTTAATACCTATTCGAGTCCTTTTAATGCGTTTTTGACGCCAGTCGTTTATCCCTCTCTTCGGCAATGGACAGTTTGACTCCCTTTCCTCTGGGCAGGGAGGCGAAGGCTTTGCTTCCTTTGCCAATTATAAAAACGTTGTTTAATCTGCAAAAAAAGACAGTGGATAAGTCACAAGCTGGACACATTTTACTACAGCAATGGGTTACCCCGAAAACAATGTGGATACAGAATCGAGTCAAAAATATGCTTTTGTTGCTTTTTCATAAAAAAATTGGTCTTTTTTGGATGAAACGACAACATCTGCAAAGCTAAACAATAAAATAGGAGTCGTTTTTCGAGCTTTTAGGCAGCCGTGGAAAAAAGATTGGTTTTCTTCGGGTGTGTTCGCACTCGAAGCGAACTCTGAAGGTGCAAACCACTTGGGCTTGCGAAACGCCAGGACCAATTTCTTTTAGGTCGACCTAAAAGCCCGAAAAACTCAGTTCCATGCACGCTATTAAAAAACTGTTAAAATTTACGAAATTTACTCGGTTCTTACCTGGTGGCAAATACGTGTTCATTGGCATCTTTGATATGAACAATATCAAACGATCCCGGATGTCTTTCTCTGTTAACCACCGTTCCCACGCGTCCCAAATTTCTGCCTCCAGTTATCTGGCAGAGATTTCCCGATTCGAACTTGATGTAATCCAGAATCTTTGATGTGGCAATTTCCAGTTGAATCGTATCGTTTACCTGAAACCCATTGGAAAAGCTTGTTAAATCCGCTCATGTTTTCCCGAGTAGAAACTCTTCAGTCGCAATCAAAGATCAGTTAATGGGTAGTGGTAAATACGAGTCATCAAATTAGGCTCAGTTTCGTAAGAACGCATCATATGAATGATTGTTTTTGCATCTAATCTTCTAGACTTTTCCTAATACTTGCCTTTACATTTGGATCCGGGTACCTAATAGTTCTTCCGTCGTGGGTAACAAGAAAAGGGATTCCTTTGGAGCCAGTCCCCACCTTTCGTACTTTGCACAGTTTATACTAAAACAGACAAAACTCAGGTAAAAGCTGCCGGTTGATCAACCTTATCAGATCTCACCTTTGCTTCTTCTGCTGTGATGCGATGAATCGTAAATCTGCCCTATCGTACTTTAGTTATACTTAGGGGTTAATATTGCTAGTTATGAAAACAATTTAAAAGCCACCAACGCCGACATCGGCGTTGTAAAAAAATTAATTAAAGTGATATTAGACTAACGATTTCCTCAAACTTTTGACCAATTAATCTCCATGTTACGCTTGTTTTGTACATAAGAAGGAAACCTAAATTGCGCTGCACAGCTCGAAACTGAGTTAAGTTTAGTCCTTGCACGCTCCCGAATGTTTGCCGGACAACCGTGTTACTGTTAATAAGACTCTTTATGCATTGTGTTACGCACAGATCAGCTATTAGGGTTAACTATTTACCGTTGTTTTAAGTTTTTTCTATATGGGGTGCTCTTGCACCATTTGCTAAGTTACGCGCTCGGACTTTTTCCTAAAGGGTTCGTGTTAATTGAGTATTTTTCAGTTCTAAATAAATATTATAGACACTTTGACTCGTTTTTTAACCATCCCAGCCCTTGACAATTACAGGAAGATCCAGCGATGGTTTTGTGGCGACGTGCCCGAAAAATCGCCTTTGGAAGCATTTTATTGACTGGATTACTCAAAATAAATTGTGCTTGCTTATGGCGTAACCAAATACCTGTACTTGCACCTACAGTGGCGTATCTAAAAGCCCATTCTGCACAGGAAGTGATTCTCGCATGTACTGGATTTGTACATGACGTAAAAGCAGCAGAGGACGAGCGGAAAAAATTAAAATCTATTTTTTACTTGTGCTTATGTACATTCTTAATACCTATTCGAGTCCTTTTAATGCGTTTTTGACGCCAGTCGTTTATCCCTCTCTTCGGCAATGGACAGTTTGACTCCCTTTCCTCTGGGCAGGGAGGCGAAGGCTTTGCTTCCTTTGCCAATTATAAAAACGTTGTTTAATCTGCAAAAAAAGACAGTGGATAAGTCACAAGCTGGACACATTTTACTACAGCAATGGGTTACCCCGAAAACAATGTGGATACAGAATCGAGTCAAAAATATGCTTTTGTTGCTTTTTCATAAAAAAATTGGTCTTTTTTGGATGAAACGACAACATCTGCAAAGCTAAACAATAAAATAGGAGTCGTTTTTCGAGCTTTTAGGCAGCCGTGGAAAAAAGATTGGTTTTCTTCGGGTGTGTTCGCACTCGAAGCGAACTCTGAAGGTGCAAACCACTTGGGCTTGCGAAACGCCAGGACCAATTTCTTTTAGGTCGACCTAAAAGCCCGAAAAACTCAGTTCCATGCACGCTATTAAAAAACTGTTAAAATTTACGAAATTTACTCGGTTCTTACCTGGTGGCAAATACGTGTTCATTGGCATCTTTGATATGAACAATATCAAACGATCCCGGATGTCTTTCTCTGTTAACCACCGTTCCCACGCGTCCCAAATTTCTGCCTCCAGTTATCTGGCAGAGATTTCCCGATTCGAACTTGATGTAATCCAGAATCTTTGATGTGGCAATTTCCAGTTGAATCGTATCGTTTACCTGAAACCCATTGGAAAAGCTTGTTAAATCCGCTCATGTTTTCCCGAGTAGAAACTCTTCAGTCGCAATCAAAGATCAGTTAATGGGTAGTGGTAAATACGAGTCATCAAATTAGGCTCAGTTTCGTAAGAACGCATCATATGAATGATTGTTTTTG